AGCTGGTGGGTTTGGATTGCCAGACTTCTGGAATTCTATGATAGTATGGCATTATTTAAGCATTAGCAGTAGTGTATTACTAATTTTTGAAATAATATTATTACCTTTGAATACTCTTTATCTTCTCTAATTGTGCATATCTCTTAATGAAACTCTCTTTGGACTTTCATAAAAATATTAAAAGGATACATCAATATTTTCATTTAACATCTTGAATCTTAGTAGAAGCTTAATACATATTTATTTAGTAGATTAATTCCTTCATTAAATAATCTTTCTTGAGGGCCTGCTTGGTGCCAAGCACTCTTCTAGTACTGGAAAAGGAACAGAAACAAAAAGACAAAGAGTCTTTGCTCATAGATTTTATATTTTTGTGGAGAAGATACTGAGCAAACAACAGATCAAAATATAATATGTCAGGTGATAAGGGCCATGAAGAAAAGGAAAGCAGGAAAGGGAGAGAGAACAGTGGATGGCAGGGGTTGACATATTAAGAAGGGGCTTCAGAGGAGACCTTTCTGGTGAAGTGACATTTAAGCAAGCCTTGGATGCCAGTGAGAAGCCAGACATAAAAATATCTGGGGAAGAGGAAAGCTCTAGTCTGTGGAAGCAGTGAGTGCTTGGCACGCAAAGATGAATGAAATGCAGGATCTGAGATTAAATAGGCCCAAAGAAATTGAAACCAAAAGGCTTTTTTATATTCAAGGTAGAGAAGAAACATTTGGAATACTAGAAAGAAAATATGTGTCAGCACTGTACCGGGGCCTGGAAACTTGGGTGGCTTTCTTGGTTCAACAATTAATTCATTGGATGCTCTTATATTTGCCCTTTAACCTTTCCTTGATCTGGTTTCTACATCTCCAAATTAACCACCTCTAAGTTGGGCAAACAGTCAAATACTCAGCTATTAGCCAAAAGATTGGTTTAAGCCCTCCCAGGGGCTCCTTGGTGACAGGCTTTGCCATCCACTTCCAAAAGTTCACAGTCTTGAAAAACCTATGGAGCACAGTTCTAAGCTCTACTCTGACACACATGGGGCTGTCATGAATCAGAATTGAATTGAATTGGATTGAACAACAGAGAAAGCAGAAAGGAAACAGTGAACTGCAAAGTTAACTTTTGGGATAAAGGTCAATGTGCTTGACACGATCAATTATAACTACTATATTAAGGAGCTCTGGTGATGTGGTACCTAAGGCATTTGACTGCTAACCAAAAGATTGGCTGTTCAAACCCACCAGCCACTCCATGGAAGGAAGGTGGGGCAATCTACTTACGTAAAGATTTACCACCTTGGAAACCCAAGGGGGTCACTATGAGTTGTAATTGACTTAATGGCAGGGGGTTTTTTTTTTTTTTTTTTAGTGGGGGAGGTTATCAGCTATATTGGGTCCAATTTCTCGTGGGTTCAGCATTGTACCATTTTATTTGACTAGCGCTGGGTATGACCTGATATCTATTTTCTACCCCTTTTTACAGGACCTTAATGAGCCATTCTCTTCAGGTCTGATTCATCCCCATTTTCTGTTTTATAGTTTGTAACAATAGTAACCACAACAATGACAAAGCTCAGAAACTCCTCCCTTAGGTGAGATGACAGTAATAAACTCAAGGCAGAACAGATCCTCTCTCATCCACTGGGACTTGGCTCTGCCATGCTCCCTGCCCCATGGGCCATCATTTGCCCAGGCCTCAGCCCCGAGGGAGTAGCAGTGCCTCCTGCCCAGGGTGATTCAGTGTGAATTTCAGGGCTTCATCTTCTTTGTTCAATGATCTTGTTCAACTCAGTCAATGTATACAAGCTGTCCTGTCAGCATAATATAATTGAACACAACAGACGCTTTTTTGGTAAATTAAGCCGTACTTGAGATGAATATTTAATGTTTGGGACAAATCCACAATCTGTCTTAAATTGCTTCAAACTGTATCACCCTTAGTGGTACATTCTGGGTTGAGGTAAAAATTATGTGAGCTCTCATTCTACGCTCAAATGAATGTATTTTGTTGGGGTGCAGGGAGGTGGGCAAAGTATTTTGAACCATATTTGAATTCAGTGGAATTACAAATCCAAGAGAAAGAAGGGGAAATCTAACATGTTAGTTTCAATCTCCCTCACTGTAACCTTTCTGTCTCCCTCTTTCTGGCTTTTCCCTTGCCCTTTCAGAGGTCTAACATTTCTCTGGCTATTCTCTACTTGCTTTTATTCAAAGCAATGTTTCAAATCGCACCAACGTGCATTTGTACCAAAACGTTTTCTATCATTATCTGTCTGATTACTTTGTAATGTTTTAAGAGCTATTTCAGGTTTGCAAAACAGTCAAGGACCTTGAACACAGAATCATCCAGAACCACTTCATTCATTCATTTATTTCTTCTTTTCCATTTGCACCTCATAAAGAAAAAAAAAGGGAATGTGGAAAAAGAAAAGAAATCCCAAGTTCACATCTCTGGGAGATGATACCTTTCAGTTATCGGTAAATTGCATCTTAAAAGTAAGAATGCTTCTCACAATGATGGGAACAGAGAATGAAATAGTATGCCAATTTAAAATGCTATTACCTGCCTGCATTCCCAATCTTTCCCCTTAGATAACACTGTTCCTACATAGAACTTTTTTTTTTTCTTTTCCTGCTATTTCCTTCATCATATGGGAGCTTCATTAGAGAAATAAAGGGAGAGTAGATGCATTTGACAATAAAAGACAAATGATGTTAGGAAGAAGCTCTCTGATGAGGCAGTTTTCAATTTATCTGCTCAGCTGAGTACTTCTGACTCGTCAGGAGGCAGGCTTGGCATCTGCTTCTAGAGCGACATATGGCTGGTGCTAAGCACTGTCAATGTCTGCAAAGGTGGGCCTGTACCTGTCCAGGACATGACGACTGGAAACCTTCTGAGTCTACGTAAATCTGGCATTTTTCCACATGTGCTTCACTTGCTAAATGTGGCAGGAGTGAAGAAGGCAAACTGGTTCCACACCAGTTTCATAGGTGGGTTTTTCTTCTCTCCCACTCCCTCTTTGTCAAGGCCACGTTCAAGGGGCTAAACCTGTCTTTACTCACCCTTGCTTTGGTTCCTGCTTTGTCTTCATTTGGCTAATTGTGCTGCCCTCTCTTTTCAACTTCATTATCTGAGTCAAGTACATTTAGGAAGCTAAAAATAGCAGTTCGATAGTAGCTAGGGTCAAGTTTAATAATATCTGAAAAGCTTACTACATCTTCTCTCAAGGCACATGTTATAATGTTTTTTTTTCTCCTCACACCACATGAGAGTCTTAAACAACCCCTAAGGAATTCAAATATTATTCAAAATGATTTTATTTCAAAAGTGCTCACTGTCAAGTCAATCACAAAAGGATAATTATCATATGATCCCACTTATATGAAATATCTGGAATAGGCAAATGTATAGAGACCAAGGGAACTCTGGTTGGCATAGTGCCTAAGGCATTTGGCTGGTAACCAGAGGCTGGCAGTTCAAACCCACCAGCCCCTCCTCCGGAGAAAGATTGGGCAATCTACTTCCATAGTGATGTTGTTGTTGTTATGTGCCGTCGAGTGGGACTGACTCATAGCGACCCCTCCTTGGGTTTCTGAGGCAGTATCACTACGGAAGTAGATTGCCCCATCTTCCTTCTAAGGAGTCGCTGGTGGGTTTGAACTGCCTCAGAAACCCAAGGATGGGTCCCTATGAGTTCAATCCAACTCGACAGAAGTAAGTTTTTTTTTTTCCCTAAGAAAGAGCAAGTGAATTTCATTTTGCAATGAATCTAAAATCATCATCCATGGAAGCAGCAGTCAAGAAATCAAATGACACATTACAATGAGTAAATCTGCTGCAAAAGATCTCTTTAAAGTGTTAAAGAGCAAGGATGTCACTTTGAGGACTAAGGTGCACTTGACCCAAACGATGGTATTTTCAAATGCCTTATATGCATGTGAAAGCTGGAAAATGAATTAGGGACACCCAAGAAGAATCGATGTCATTAAATTATGAGGTTGACAAAGAAAAATAAATATCATGGACTGCCAGAAGAAGGAACAAATCTGTCTCAGAAGAAATACAGCTGGAAAATCCCTTAGAAGTCATGTACTTTGGATATGTTAATAGGATGGACCAGTCCCTGAAGAAGAACTTCATAACCTGATAAAGTAAAGGGTCAGCAAAAAAGAGGAAGAGCCTCAGCAACATGGATTGACACAGGGGCTACAAGAATGGACTCAAAACAACAAGGCTTGTAAAAATGGTGCAGGACCAGGCAGCATTTTGTTCTGTTGTACATCCCACTGCCATCAAGTTGATTCCAACTCATAGAGACCCTATAGAACAGAGTAGAACTGCCCCATTGGGTTTCAAAGGTTTCTTTACAGAAGCCGACTGCCTCATCTTTCTCCCATGGAGTGGCTGATTGGTTTGAACTGCTGACCTTTGGGTTAGAAGCCAAACACTTTAACTACTGTGCCACCAGAACTCTTCTGTTGCACATAGGGTCAATATTAGTTGGGATTGACTTGACAGCACCTAACAACAACATAGAAACCAAAGTTTGTTAGTGGTTATCAAGGGAGGGAAGAGTCTCAGAGTGCTGCAAATAGTTAATACAATTGACTACTGCTAACTGAAAACTTGGAGGCTCAAGTCACCCAGAGGTGGCTCAGAATAAAGTCTGGGTGATTTACTTCTGACAAACCAGCCATTGTAAACCCTATGGCATACCATTCTGCTCTGACACACATTAGGTCACCTATGTTCAGGTCTGGCTTGATGGCAGCTAACAACAACTATCAGCGGTAGAAGAGAAGAAAAGAGAGAATGATTGTCTAGGAAGCATTGTGTATCTCTTTATAGCAGTGAAACAGTTCACAATGAACACTGGTGATGGTTGCCCATGATTAATAATTGGTGTCATGAATTGTACAGGTGAAAAAGGTTAAATTGGCATATATTGTGGTATATATATTTCTTACAACATTAAAAATAAAAAGAAAAGGAAAATTACTTACTGTCATCATGCCATCCAGAAGACCAGTCTCAGGCCTAGGTGGGGCCTGCAGTCTCTCCATGGACCACTTCTCAATGATGGATGACACGTGAGGGTTGTCAATATTAAGCAGCCGAAATCCTGTCATATTTACTCCACTGTACCTATAGAGTTCCAGATCTAAAGCAAATAAGTCCTGTGCAGTGTTACAAATGATAAAAGTAGAAAAGAGTTAACATTTTTCAAAGTTCTTTCTGCACAAGGAAATTAATGACTACAGAAGCAACAAATAGATTAAGACAAAAATGGCATCCATTTCTATACAGTTTCTATAAAAGAACATTTCCCTTTGCTTTCCACTCATATTTTGCCTGAGAAACTCTATAGCAGTAAGCATTTTTCATTTTCAGCCATGTTTTTGCAGTACTGTTAGAATTTTGATAAACCAAGAATACAAATTTGGCAGCCAATAATTAGTATGCCCTTGGACACAAGATTTGACATCTGAGTAGTCAGAGCATTCTATTCATAGGATGACACCCTTGTGGAGATGGAAGAGACCTTTGTGGTCTTTTGCTTTCATTTTATAGATGAGAAAAGCTGACGCTCTGCATGGTGAGGTGACCATTCTAAGAATGAACATTTCAGTGGTAGTATACTCCCTCTCTGTCACATCTTACTACCTCAGTCTGTCCTGGATCTTGCCAAGGAAGTGAAATTTAGAAATTGCATATGCATTTGACAGGAAGAGCATTCCTTTTTCCAGCAGAAAGAAATACTATTCCCTGGTTCACTGAAAATAACTTACGTTCTATACAATGAGGACATGCAAAATGCCCACTGGACTTGTGCTTTGAATGAGAACCAAAGGTTCTTGCTGGAGAATAAACAGGAGCATATGGTTGTGTGGGCATGAGTATCTTAACAATTGCACTAATTCCCTTTCAGACAGTGTTTTAGGAAAAAAAGAGTTAAAAACACCCCAGTGTTCTCCATTATAGAACAAGCTGCATATAAACCAGAAGGGTATAAGTTGATTCAGATTTAAAAGATTTATATATTTTTTCTATATAAAAAAGATTAGATTCTAAAATATATCATTAAAAATATCACATTGAGCAGTAAACCAAACTTTGAAAAGAACATTTAGCTGGAAGGAAAAGCCTTCATAAAAATTTCCTAACAATGTAACTGTATTATGAGAAGTACCATGTCATATAGTACAAGATCAGTGATGGCAATGGTCACTAAAAAGAAGCAGCTTCAGAAACACTCCATGATATGTGTATGCACAAGACACATACAAAATTGTTAAACTGTTCTTTTGAAAACTCTTCTCTACATTGCTACCCTTTCCCAAGGCAACTTGGCACTGGGTGAGAGAACTCTTAAGAGGACAGCTCTGTGTGGCTAGTTAGTTCAGTAAAATAAAGGAGTGCTTTAAAATGTCATATTTGTATTTTTTTTTCTAACACAAAGTAACTCATTTTCTTTAAGTTATATTAAGATGCATGACCAAAAATCATAGGAATATCACAGCAAAGCAGGGCAGAATGAAGATAAAACCAAAGAACATGCTTAAATAAGCAAATTCAAAGAATAAGATCTAAAACACAAAAAGCAAAACAATTTTGTTAGTGCACTAATTCAATATAAGGAAAGTTAGTCAAGTTATAGAAGGGCAGGCAGAAACTTCCAGAATGCATACTGAGTCCCCAGTGGATTCAGTATTGCATGAATTCAACGTAGTATAAGGAATATATTAAACATGGGCAAAATTATATTGACCTATAATTTGAAGCTTTTATGCAAAATGTGGAAAGTCCAAGGTGTGATTTACAACATTTCCTTTTGAATGAAGAACAAAGAAAGCAAAACTCGGAGAAGGAAAAGGAATAAAAACTGCAGCAACATTCATCTCTCCTTAATCTCCACTGAAGGCCAGCCTCCAGAGGTTCCCTTGTTCATATTTTTTCCCAAATGTCTTCAAAATCAGCTATTAGGGGTATAAAAGGAGTCCTTGAATGTCACAAATGGTTAAGCACTTGACTAGTAGCCAAAAGGTTGGAGATTCTAAACCACCCAGAGGTGTCTTACGAGACAGGCCTAGTGATGTGCAGCCTTGACAACCCTATGAAGCGGTTTGACACTGTACACACAGGGTCATCAACAATTGAATTGACGTGATGACAACTAACAACAACAAGAAGGGTATATACAGCCAAACAAACAAACAAATAAACAAACAAACCCACTGCCATCAAGTTGCTTATTATTCGTAGTGACCCCCATTGGGTTTACAAAGCTATAAAGCTTTATGGAAGCAGATTGGTTCATCTTCCTCCCACAGAGAAGCTGGTGGGTTTGAACCACCAACTTTTTGGTTAAAAGTCCAATATCTTACCCATTACACCACCAGAACTCCTTGAATACAGCCAGGGCTGGTAAAAAGTTCTGAGGCAGATGGCCAACCCTCCGTGTGTTAATACACAGGTGTTCACGCTGACTGAGGAAAGGTCATATTGAGACCAGGGTGAGACACCCTGCTCTTTCCAGTTTCTGAGTTTTCTCTGGACTGCTCTGACAAAGGACCTGCTCAGAACATCAGGAAATCAGCATGGGGTAGGAAAGACCACTGAAACATTAGTTCAGAAACTGCCATCCTGCACTCGCACTCTTCCACCACCTGCTCATCAGTAGTAATGATTTTGGCAATTGCTCCAAAGTGTTTGTCCTGTGATGTCCTCTGCACCCTCCATGCTTTCAGAGATGCTTCATTCAGAAATATTACTTATTACTACTAGTATGTGTGGGAGCTCTGGTAGCATAGTGGCTAAGACACTTGCCTGCTAACCAGACGGCTGGCGGTTCAAACCCACCAGCCACTCCTCGGAAGGAAGGTTGGGCAATCCTACTTCCATAGTGATACTGCCTCGGAAACCCAAGGAGGGGTCGTTATGAGTAGGGGCCGACTCGACGGCACATAACAACAACAACAACAACTAGTATGTGTATGGCAGCTGCCTGGTCCTGGCTTGAAATTCTTTGACTTCCCTACTCACCTAAGTTTTATTTAGTCCTTTTACTGAATGTCCTGGAATCTAGGCAGATTTCAGTTGACACACCTTCATGATTAGAAAAAGAGGTTGGATATTTTCTTCTCATGTAAAAATGTGTGTGTGTGTGTGTGTGTGTGTATCAGAGGAGAGTGAGAGATTTCAGAAACTGATTGTATGAGAGATGTCATGTCATTTTGATGTGCTAAATGCCCTAAAGCATTCTCCCTTGATTCTGATCATTGCTCCCAATTTAAGATGTTATGGAGTCCCTTGGTAGTGTACATAGTTAAGTGCTTGATTGCTAATGGAAAATTTGCTGGTTTGAACCCACCCAGATTACCTCAGAAGAAAGATCTGGTGATGTGCTTCTGAAATGCCACAGCCATGGAAACCTTATGGAGCACACACAGCTCTAATCTGACACACATGGGGCTGTCATGAGCAGAGCTGACTCTACAGCAAATGGTTTCATTTTATTTTGTTAGTAGGACTTCTACACAGCCATAATTTTTCTTAAAGTTGTTAAATATTCAATGTGCAGAGCATTTCCAAAACTTCTGTCTTGATGGTTTCCCAAACACATGGCTGATGATCCCTTCTAACCCTGTTTTCTATTGGACATAAGTCCACGAATTGCATCAGATCAAAGAATGCACAGTCATACTTCAGTGTACATTCCAATTTATATAGGAATTCTAGATGATATTCCTTTATGAATAGTTACACTTTGACAGCTCTATTTAATGGAATTTTCATTTTAATCCTTTTCTGGATGCACACATATTCATGCTAGTTATAAAAAAAAAATCAATAAAAGGTGGGGGGACATCCTATTGTTCAGCATTACTGGGTTAAGAAAATTTTTAGGAATGGAAGGTAGATCTCCATGACAATATCTTGCCTTTGGCACTGGTAGGGCTGACCTTAAATTAACTCTTTGTGGAGATGTTTTCTAATGTATGGAACACGTTTCTACTGGAAGCTCTTACCAGGGTTGTGAAAAAGTAGTGATAGTACTCGGTCATCATGCCCATGAAAAGAATCTGCAAAAGAGAAGAGATAAGAATAAAAAACAGAATTGTAATAAGAAATTGATAATTAGTATGGTGAATATTAGGAAGGAAGTTGGGCAATCTACTTCCTTAGCGATATCGCCTCCGAAACCCAAGAAGGGGTCCCTATGAGTCAGTCCGACTCGATGGCAAACAACAATAATGGTGAATATAAAAGCTTGGAAACATAGAACTGGAAGGAAGCTTGGAAATCCACAGAGTCAGCAGATCAGAAGCCAGATGCCAGTTAGTGGCTGATGTGGGGCTAAGACCCAGGTCACTGACTTTCTTTATCAACTACTCTCTCCATTATACTATGATTTGTGTACAAATAACCAGTCTGGCGATCGCATTTCAATATACTTTGTGTTAACAAAGGTTATATTTGGAGTTTACCATAGTGGCACAGGGTCTTATGTTCCCTATTACCTATATTTCTGAGTAATTCCATGCTAGTGTTATGTTTCTTTGAAGTCACCTTGACTCCTGGTGCCTCTATACACAAGTGATCAGACCAATGTGATTCTTAGGGCTTTCCTTGACTGACTTTTGGAGCTGGATAATTGGGTCTTCCTTCTTACTTCATTTCAGTCTGTAAGTTCCACTGAAATCTGTCCAGCAGTATAGCAACATAGAAGGCTGTACGGACAGATGATTGCACACAAGGTACACTAGCAGGGAATCAAACCCAGGTCTCTTTCATGGAAGGTGAGAATTCTACCACTGAACAATCACTAACCCTTAGTACATGCTCAGATATATATTTTATTGGTATTCTTAACTTTAGTATTTAGAATGATGCTTCCCTCAGAGTAAACTCACTAAATTTTGAATTGACAATGTTGATGTGTTGTTGTTGTTGTTGTTGTTACGTGCCGTCGAGTCGGACCCAACTCATAGTGACCCCTCCTTGAGTTTCCAAGGCAGCAGATTGCCCCATCTTCCTTCCAAGGAGTGGCTGATGGGTTTGAAACTCCAGCTTTCTGGTTAGCAGTCAAGTGCCTTAGGCAATATGTTACCAGAGCTCCTATGTTGATGTATAGACATATTTAAATATCTCTGAAACATACCATTTTATCATCTCATCCCACAGAATGAGCAGGGATATAAAGAGATCTGTTTACAAAAAGAGGATAGAAATTGTTCTTACACAAATTTATCACTATCTTCTAGTTGTAGTTCTCAATTACATAGTTAGTATCTTTATAGTTTCAAGCATACTATGAGTATGTGTTGTTTTTACTTTGTGGGGGAAGGGAGAAGGAAATAGAAAGGACAAGTGTTCTAGGTAGAGGTAGTTGCTGTTGCTAGCTATTGTCATTCCTATTCACGGTGAGTCCATGTACAGCAGGATCGGATCTTCGTGATCTATTGTTTTCACTGGCTGAATTTTTGGAAGTAGATCACCAGATCTTTCTTCCAGGTCTGTTTTAGAAAGGAAGCTCTGCTGAAACCTTTTCAACATCATACCACTCGCAACATGTAAGTCTCCACTGACAGATAGGTGATGGCTGTACTTAAGATGCACTGACTGGGAATCAAACACAATCTCCCTCATGAAAGTTGAAATATCTACTTCTCACTTATCAACTATTTCTTTATCCAACATTTTGTATTTACATCAAGAGTGAAAAACTTATTATTTGACTATTTAATGCAGTAACAATGTATGTCTGGAAGTTGTGATAAGAGAGTAACACTGCCTGTAATGGTTAAGGTTATATGTCAACTTGGCTAGGCCATGATTCTTAGTGGTTTGGCAGTTATGTAATTATGTAATTTAGCAGTTATGTAACAATTTAGACATTCTCCATTTTGTGATCTTATGTGGTTATCCTCCCTTTTCATATGCTGATTTTCACACAATGACATGATCTTTCAAAGCTAACTGTGTTGATAATGAGGAGTGGGTATAATTTTTCCTCTGAACCATCACTACAGAGATAGAGATTATTAAACTGTGGTTTTACTTCAGATTCCTGGAAAATGATGTCAACAGAGAAGAAAATGTTGTATTTGCTTTGGAGTTAACATATTGTTTCTAAATCTTCTAAATTGAGGAATCCTGAGTAAGTGGCTAGGCCTGTGGTTTGGGATCATAGTCATGGGGGATATCAAGGTCAATTAGCATAACATACTACACAAAAACATTGTTCTATGTCCTGTCTTGGTGAGTAGTGATTGGGGTCTTAAGAACTCAAGAGTGGCCATATGAGATGCAAATATTGGTCCTACCTCACCTAAGATGCAATTATTGGTCTTTCAAATTAGAGTGAGGAAAATCAGAGATACATGGAAACAATTAGTCCAAAGAACTAATAGACCATGGGAACCTCAGCCTGCATGATCCTGATACCAGAACAATTAGATGTATTCAGCTACCAATGCCAACCACTCAGAAAGGGATGAAAATGGCAGATTCTAGAGAGAGTGGGAGAAAAATATGAAACAAAATTTAAAAAAAAGGGGGGGGGGCAAAACTGTTAGTCAGATAGAGACTGATTAAGCCCCTAGTCACCCTCACTGTGTAGGATTTGACTCTGGTGGCTTAACTCTCAGTCAAACAATCGACAGGACTATGAGCTTAACAGTTACACCAGGGCAATGCACTCCTTAGAACAATCAACTATGGGCAATCAGAAGCATTTGCATAAGGAGAAACCTAGGGAGGCAGGAATGGATAGGTAAGAAAAACACAGGTAAAGGGTAACCACAGGGAGGGAGTGAAAAGAGAGCTGTTACATTATGGGGCTTGTAATCAGTGTCACAATACATGCATGAACTGTTCAGTGAAAAATGAAAGTGTGCTGTAAAATTTCATTAAAATCACAATAAAACGGTTTCAAAACAAACAAATAAACAAATAAATAAATTGAGGGATCCTTCCTCAGGGCAGGTTATCAAAAATGATTACTTTGGTGCTATTTTTTGGTGTTTGTGTGGAAATTAAAGGACAAGATTCAGAAATCAAATCTCCAAGGCAGTTTTCCCCACAATTCTAATAATTTTGTATGCAAATGAAAACGCCCTGTGGAAGCTTTTTAACCTATGTTATGGATTGAATTGTGTCTCCTCTAAAATTTATGTTGAAGTCCTAACCCCTTCTACTAGTTAGTGTGACTTGGTTTGAAATAGATGTTATTAGGTAAGTCAATAGAGGTAGGTCTGGTGGCACAGTGCCTAAGGCATTTGACTGCTAACCAGAAGGCTGGTGATTCAAACCCACTAGCCACTCCTCAGAGTGAAGGTTGGGCAATCTATTTCCGTAGTGATATTGGAAACCCAAAGAGGTGTCACTATGAGTCAAATCTGACTCAACAGCACCGGAGATCATACTGGAGAAGGGTGGGTCGTAATTCAAACTGTTGTTGTTGTTGTTATGTGTCGTTGAGTCAGACCAGACTCCTTCCGAGGAGTGGCTGGTGGGTTTGAACAACCAGCCTTATGGTTAGCAGTCAAACCAAAACCAAAGCCACTGCCATTGAGTGAGATCCAACACATAGTGACCCTTCCTTGAGTTTCTGAAGTGGTATCACTATGGAAGTAGATTGCCCAATGTTCTTTCCTAGGAGTTCCTGGTGGGTTTGAACTGACAGCCTTCTGGTTAGCAGTCAAATGCCTTAGGCACTATGCCACCAGAGCTCCTAATTCAAACTAGTGGCACAGTCTATAAAAGATAAGAGACACAGAGAGAGAGAGAGACAATGGCCATGTGAAGATGCATCTCTAAGCCAAAGAATGCCTGAGGCTACATGATGTTGGGAGGATGGAGAAAGGATCTTCCCCTAGAGTCTTCTGTGGAATCATGGCCCTGCTGACATTCTAAATTCAGACTTCTAGCTGATGACAGTGAGTTTGGTTTTTTTGGTTAGCTGGTGGCACAGTGGTTAAGTGCTCAGTTGCTAACCAAAAAGTGAGAATTTAGAACCCGTCAGTGGCTCCATGGGAGAAAAGACCTGGCAATCTGCTCTCGTAAATATTACGGCCTGGGAAACCCTATAAATCAGTTCTACTCTGTCGTAGGGTTGTTATGAGTTAGAATACATTGGCTGGCACACAACCATAACAACAGCCTCTACAATGTGTAACAGTAAATTTATGTTGTTTAAAGCCACCCTCTTTGTGGTACTTTGTTATGGCAGCCCTAGAAAACTAAGACCACCAGAGATTCTTGGGCTCCATCAAAGAGATATTCTGAATTAAAATCTCTTGAAGGGGGACCCGGGTTTCTCTATTTCACAGCCAGGACTGGGAAAACATGAATATTTGCATTAAAGAACAAAGATTTTCATAATTTCAATTGAAGAGATGGATTGAAAGGTCTGGGGAAAAGCCATGAGTTATCAGAGGTCCCGGAAGGTACCTAAGACATGCAAACTAGAATTATTTTACATGAAAAGAACTATAACATGAAGAGAGGATCTGGTGATTGCACAAAACATGTGCTGAACACCAATCTGATGCTTCTTACATGCTGTCTGCTAATATGGAAACCTCAGGAATATTTAGTGAAATTGTAATGTCATGAAGGTAAGACAAATGACAGGAAACTCTCTCTATGAATCATGAGCCCACAGCATGTAAGTCATTCCTATGGTGATAACAAGACCAGGCGCACAAAAGGATTCTCTAAAGAGTAGAATTGCTTAAGGACCATCAATAACATTTAAAGTTGTGCATAGTGAGGCCTTGTTAGCTGGTCTCTTATATCATTCGAGCATAAAGAGCAAACCTGCTGGGGTCAGTCAGAAATCCAATTTTTCACTTTGGTCATTAGATAGCGTAATTGCAGGCAAAACTATAGGTTGAAAGAGAACGGGACAAGGTTTATGTGAAGACAGAGAGCTGGACACTGAGGTCTTAAATATTGTTTCTGGAAGTAAAAAGAAAATACAAAGGCACCTGAGGTTTTAGCTTTTCACTTGAGCTAACTTTTCCTTTCTTTTTTTTTTTTTTTTTTTACTTCATTATAGCGAACTTTGATCCCCAGT